TAATTAATTTTGAAAAAATGTGTCATCAAAAAGATTTTTTGCAGTGGAATTGAATCAATAGAGTCTCAATTTTTAGGTTTTGTAAAAAAAAAAAAAAAAAACTGCAACCTTACTCCTTAAACTCTCTCCTCATATTTTGTTGTTTTACCTTCCTATATTACAACCTTTCATTTTTTTATTTTATATTTTTTTAATGGGCCTTATTCTGCTAGCATTGTGGCTTACTTTGCGCATTTTCCTGGTAACATTACTCCTGTGCTCTTGTTTCCAATGACGCTCACGCTCATTTGTAAGCTGCAGATGTATGTTGGTGGTGGTGATGGGGCGGCGGGGGGGGGCAAAGCAAGTCCCGCAATCTGTTGTGGGGCGTGCATGCGACGTAACAATAGATAGAGAGGCATGATGACTTATTAAACAGAGCCAACCTGCGGCGTGCCTTTTTCTCATTACCTTTTCAATTCCCTGCTTTAGAAAGGCGTCGGGTGCTCTGACCAAACTCTTGCCGTGTAATTCTCTCTCGGCCCGCTTTCATCAGCACTATTGGCTGGAGAAATATGAACCTGATTTTTATCTAGCCGCCTGTATAAATTCACAAAAACCCTCGAGTTGCCCCCCTCCCCAACCACCACCTCCCCCCTCATGTGGAAGACGTCGCCGTGATGTGGCCGCTACTATTGCTGATCCCCAGCATCCGATAAGGCTCCCTCTCTTCTTTTTTTTTTTGACAGGCATCTGACATGAGCCTTATACGGACACTGCATTTTTTTTTTTTATACACTTGTTTACAGCATGAAAGCCCGTCTATCTATTGCATCGCACTCTTTCTCTCGATCGGGGGCATATATCGACGCCTACAGATGCTTGTAATTTGATATCACGGCAATTAAATGTGTGCCAAAAGGAGGATAATAACAAAAACTTTCTTTTCACAGATAATGCTCACTTTTGATAAATTACGGCAAAACGTTTTTGTTTTTTTTAATTCTGGTTAAAAATGTAAACCTATCAAAGTGTAAAATCCACAAAAAAATGCTGAATCCCTATGATATTTTGTGGGCCGAGTTCATCGGTTTCACTGTCAAAAAATTATTTTAATGCTCCCGGTGTGACATGGGTCAAATCGACCCAGTTGGAAAATCTGGAAGACAAAAAAAAACATCTTAAATTGGGATTACATTTATTCTGTTGGGCATGAGTTTCTCATTTGTTTCTAAATAGTTAAAAAAAAATTCATAAACAATAATTTGTAATGTTATATTTTGTTGATTTTGCTGTCGAGTGCGTCACAGTGACCCGCTTGAAAATCTACAGGCATTTTGTTGTTGTTATTAATCGACTCATTCTGATAGCTTTCCTCTTTATTTCCTTTGTTTTACTCTGCTTTGGACACAATTGGACCAACTGCACAGAGAAAAACAATAAATCAAGAAAAAAATTATTATTTTTTTAACTCCTTTTTCTTTCCCTATTTAAAATTAAAGAAACAACGTTTTGCCATTATAGTTTGGTTTATTAATCGTAAAGTAGGTCACACTAACCCTTTTGAAAATGATAATGGTGGGGATGGGAGGGGGGGAAAAATCACATTTTGACAAATTGCTTTTAACGTATTTTTACCTGAAGCTCTCCCACTACTCCACTAATAAACACAAATGTCCAAACTAACACATTACACGAGTGACAAATGCCTTGAAAAAAAAAAAAAAAGTGGTAATCAGACAGTTGGTGTCACATGTGCTTACTTTGAATACGTTCATTCCTCATCTGCTCTCATTTTCTCTGGAGTGCTTTCTGGCACTTTTGCCGCAGTATCCTGGCGTGGTTCTCTTTGAAAGTCTACCGCGACGGTGTCACTTGTAGGAGGGGAAGCAGGGGAAAAAAAAAAAAAAAAAAAACTTTCATCACGCATGGCTAGCTAATCAATTGAAATCCAGCTGCCTTCGCCCCCCCCTCACTCCAAGCTAGGTTGTAACGTAGACTGGCTTTCATCAGCTCAGCCTGTTCTTAAAAAGAGAACTCCTGCTCTGATGAACATTTCTGTTTGAAACAGATACTTTGCTTCCATACCTATCTGGACTTTCAAACTCTCCACTTGGGTTCATTTCATTTATGGGTATATAACAATGCAAAGGATGGTTTTTTTTTTGTTTTGTTTTTAAAAATTAGTATTATTAATGAAAAGGGAAAAGGGGGGAAATGAATGCTGGCGTTTGTTTCTCTGCTTCATGTTTAAATCAAAGTAGCACAATGCCAATATTTTGGCTGTTTGTAATTTTTTTTTTTTAAAGAAAAGGATAAATCAATTTCAGTTGTAATTTTTACCAAAATGCTTTCTCAATATCGTCTACTGGTGGGTGTGTCACCTGATCCATGCACATTTAATAATCCAAAAGTATCACACCATAATTCTATTTTATGTTATCAAGGACATGAACCAAAAATTAAAATCTTGTATTGTTTTGTTTTTTTTCTTTGTTTCTTTGACAAAGATTTTCAAATGGGTCAGTGTGACCCACAAAATTTGGCTTTGTTTCTGGATACAATATTGTGAAAATAAAACATGAAAGTCAAGTACAAAGTTCCAACACAATGTAATAGAGAATTGCAACATTTTTTGGGGGGGCGTAGGCAGAAGTTTCAAAAAATAAAAGAAGAAATAACAAGGAAAATAAAGTTGAATCTGTATTTTTTTGGTAGATTCTGAAATGGGCCATTTTAGATGTAATCATCAAGAAAATACACAATGCATTTTATTGGAATAAAAATATTGCCTGAGTCCTAGTTTTTTTAAATTACCGGTAGATTCTTTTTCTCGTGTTCAAGTGGTGAAATGGAATTCGCGATAAGTTAAATCCTAAACAACATAAATATTGTCATTTTCAAATTGAAGAAAAACTAGGAGTGAAAAGTTAAAAAAAAAAAAAGTTGAATCTAAATTTTGAAACAATTTTTTCTAGATTGTGAACGAGGTCAACTTGACATATTTTGTAGTTCATCATCCCAAACTATTATCGTACTCTGCAAGTCACTTAAATCGTTTTTCGCAATCGTTTATTTTTCTAGATTTTATAGTTTCTCTTCAAACAAATGAAAATTATTTTTAAAAAAAACAACAACTCTATCGTGCCTCTGTTTGATCATCAAAAATTATAAAAGCAATATTACAAATTCCTTTTTGGTTTTTAAAAAATAATATGTATAGAAGGGATAAGAAAAGGAAGAATGCCCATAAGACTGTTTTTTTTTCTCCATCTTCTCAAAGGGGTCATTTTGACGCACCGCATAACAGGAAGGTTAAGTGCTTTGCCAGCTGATTCCAAACTTTTTTCCATGTTAATTGCACAATAAGTTCACGGTTAGCTTGCACATGAGTACAACATCGATTTTCATCAACACATCACGGCATTTTTTTTTTTGAAATGAGATGATACTAATTGTAAGGTTTTGACAAGACCTCACCGCGTGCATTTGCGCCCCCTCCCTTATTAACTCTCTGCCGACTGGCCTTACATCATTATTATTTCATATTTGCCATCTTCAGCTCCGCGGGGGAGAATATTATCTGCAATCATCGCTGTCGTCGTCGTCCTGGCGATTCTCTTGGTCGCCTCCCAAATAAGTCATTTAGTTGTAAAGCAGCTTCATTTACTCCACCTA